CATGTCTGGTCACCGATTATTTAGCTCGCGCGTTTGCAAAGGCGTGTTGAAGTTGCTCCACTTCGGTCACCGAAGCGACCAAACTTGAAGGCCGACCACCGGCAGAAAACCACCGTCTGACCCGCGCCCGAGTCGCGATAGTCGAAGCGTCGTGCGGCCGAGCTGGCCTTCTTCCCAGCGGAGCGCAGGGGAGAGTGTCCAGCTCGGTGCGCTGTCCACGAGGAAGCTGTACTCGCTGGCTTTCCAACACCCCACGGACACTGCAACAATTCTCGGTTGAGATTCGCAAAAGGCCACCGGGAAAAAGCCCAGTGGGACACCGCTCAACCATACGAGTAGGTTTGTATGTATATCTATGTGCATCAGACTGTTTGTAAACACATATTCTCATGCACATCTCTCCCAGAGAGTAGGGGTGAGATCCGATTAACTGTCGGCGGCGGCGGCGGCTGTTCAGAATGTACTGGCCGCATTCTGGAAATCAGACGTACCCCTGACGCAGATCGCGACGTCAAGGTCCAAAAACACATGGGGGCTTCAATTCCTTAGCAACTAGATTTCAAGCACACAATGGTTATCCAAGGGTGGTGTTCATATCGAAGCCATGTGCTTTCGACAATTGGAAGTCCTAGTTCTCCAACATCGGTCCAGCCGCGTCTTTTTGATTCGATAGGGGCATCGTCATATTTGCGAAAGCTAGGACGCACCTCAAATGCAGATGGCCACGTGACAGTTTAATAACACCAGGGGCTTTCAGTTTCTTCATATAAAAGGTTCGCATGCCATTTTGTTTTCAGTGAGTATGGACCGAAGCCTCGCAACACCCACTGGTGTCTAAAGATCCCCCAAACAGTTCTAGCACTTGAATGTTATTGCTTGTCTTACTGAGGAGGTGAATGGGCCCAGTGCGGGTTCGCCGCGTCGCCGCCTGTTGCCGCCTCGTTGCGCCATGCTGCTGTTCTTCTGGATAGGTCCGACAAGGTTTCGGATTCGTCTCCGCCTGTGGCCGCCTCGTTGCCGCTTCGGTGCCGCCCACTTGGGGGGTCGTCGAGGTTTCGCCGCGTTTTCGTTTGTTGCCGCGTCGTTGCCGCCTCGTTGCCTGGGAGTCCGTCGAGGTTTAGCCGCGTCGCCGCCCGTCTCTGGGACCCGAAAACGTGCGAAAACCCCCGTGGGGTGAACAAATGCATCGCCTGGATCTCAAGGATTATTCATCCACTTCCAACGTGAGCAGCAGTGTTTTTTTTTTGTTGGTTTAGGGGTCGATGGACAATTGAGTTCGAATGCAACTCCCGGGAGGTTAAGTTCAACATCGGCGCTTGTAAATCCGCGGTTGAAAACAGGCCCAATTTGGCTGGATTCCGCTGACTTCCTGTTATTTCCGCATACTTCAGCTCGGTCCAGTGCAATCCGATTTAATTCTGGAAGAGCGCTAATGGATGCTCCTCTAATTCAAAAGGGTGTGTGCGCTTGCACAACCCCCCCAACCCCTCCTTTCAAGGGGGGACGGGATTTTCGGAGCCCACCCCTTGGGCTGGAGAGTGTGGGGGGGATTTCGGATCCCCCCCCTCCCACCCTTAGCGCTGGAGAGGGTTCGCGGGAGGCAACCTCTGTGTGTTAGGCCAGAGGATCGTGAGCGGCACAGATTTCAATCGTGAAAGTTTTACACCAGGGGTGTGCAGAACAACTATCTCATATACATAAGATCGTGAAGGTTGAAGGCTTGAGAAGGCGATGTTGAGATCAGCAGATGTGCACAGCATCGTGTTTTTGGCAAAGGACCGTGAACGGCAAAGATTTCCATCGTGAAAGGTTTGGATCGGGCGTGTGCAGAACAACATGTGATTTGCATACGATCGTGAAGGATGAGGGTTTCAGAAGGCGGTATTGAGAGCCTCAGGTGTGCGGTCGGGCTGTGGAGAAAAGCAGGCTGTTTGACTAGAGTCGTCAGGGTCGAAGGCCTGAGAAGGCGAGGTTCGATCAGCACACGTGGGCCGCATGGCATTCTTTCCCAACCCTCCTGCATTGGGTTCTCGTTTTGAACAAAGCACTGCGGTCGCGACCTCCTCCTCCCGCTTCCCTCCTCCCGTCCCTTTCCACCTGCCTGCTACCTTGCCTTCTACCTCGCCGTCCTGCCTGGGGGCTCGCGGGGAGGCTGCGATCTGCGAAACTATCGCCACGTTCGAGGGCTGCTGGGGGGTCCAGTGGAGTGACGCCTTACGCAGACCTGCATGAGACCTCGCCATCTGTGGGGGGGGCTGCGATCTGCAAATATGTCGCCACTTTCGAGGGCTGCTCTGTGGTTCAGCGGAGTGACGCCTTACGCAGACCTATATTAGACCGCCATTCTTGGGGGGCTGCGATCTGCAAATCTGTAGCCACTTTCGAGGGCTGCTGTGGGGTCCAGCGGAGTGACGCCATACGCAGACCTAGACTAAACCTTGCCATCTCTGGGGGGCTGCGAAACGCAAATCTGTAGCCACTTTCGAGGGCTGCTGTGGGGTCCAGCGGAGTGACGCCTTTCGCAGACCTAGACAAACCCTCGCCATCCCTGGTGGGTTGCGAACTGCGAAACTATCGCCACCTCCAAGGGCTGCCGGGGGTCCAGCGGAGTGACGTCTTACGTAGACCTCGACCAAGCCTCGCCACCACTTGGGGGCTGCGAACTGCAAAGCTGTCACCGCGTTCGAGGGCTGCTCCGTTTCAACCGAAGTGACGCTTTTCGCAGACTCATATTAAACTTCGCCATCTGTGAGGGGCTGCCAACTGCGCAACCGTCGCCACTTTCGAGGGCAGCTGGGGGGCCCAGCGGAGTGACGCCTTACGCAGACCTAGATTAGACCTCGCCATCCCTGGGGGGCTGCAAACTGCAAATCTGTCGCCACAGTCGATGGCTGTTGGGGGGTCCAGCGGAGTGACGCGTTACGCAAACCTAGAGCCGACCTCGCCATCCCTGGGCGGCTGCGAACTGCGAATCTGTGATATCGGGGGTAACACCGGGGAGCTGGGGTTAGATCGGGGATGCGCGGAAAAGCGTGTCATTTGCGTAGGATCGTGATGGTTGAATGCTTGAGAAGACGACGGTAACAGCAGGCGATATGCACCGCAGAACATTTTTTCCCAACCCTCGTGTGTCGGGTTCTCGTTTGGAATACAGCACTGCGGTATCCTGTCCTTTTCCTTCCCCTCCCTCCTCCTCCTGCGCTGATCCATGGGAGGCTACGAACTGCGCAACTGTCGCCACTTTTGTGGGCGTCTGGGAGGTCCAGCGGAGTGGGGGAGTACATGCGCCCAGCTGAGACATCGCAGCTCCCTTGGTGGCTGCGAACTGCGTAAGCGTCGCCATTTTCGTGGGTTCCTGGGAGGCACGGCGGAGTAGGGGAGAACGCGCACCCATCCGAGACCTCGCAGATCCCTGGGTGGCTGCGAACTGCGCAACCATCAACACTTTCGTGGGCTCCAGGGAGGCATTGCGGAGTAGGTGAGTACGCGCACCCATCCGAGATCTCGTAGCTCCCTGGGGGACAGCGAACTGCGCAACCGTCGCCACTTTCGTGGGCTCCTGGGAGGCACGGCGGAGTGGGGGAGTACGCGCACCCAGCAAGGGCCTCGCAGCTCCCTGGGGGGCTGCGAGCTGCGCAACCGTCGCTACTCTCTTGGGCTTCCAGGAGGAACGGCGGAGTAAGGCCTAAACCTTGGGGCCTAGAGCTTAGGGCTTGGAGCTTCAGCTTTCGATCTTGGGACCTAGGGCTTAGGGTTTAAATGATGAGATTATTGTGTTAGGGCTTATGGCTTATGGCTTACGGCCTAGAGCTGAAGGCTTAGGACCTAGAGCTTAGGGCTTAAAGCTTGGGGCTTAGGATTTAGGGCTTAGGGGTTGGATTCCAGGTGTTAGGGTGTTAGACTTAGGGTGTTAGGGATAGCGGTCTAGGGTTAGGGTGTTGGGATTAAGGGTTTTGGTTCGTGTGTTCGGGTTCGGGGGTTGGGTCAGGGTGTTCGGGCCAGGGTGTTAGGGTTAGGGTGTTAGGGTTGGGATCCGGGTGTTAGGGTATTGGTGTTCGGGTCAGGGTGGTGCGCTTAGGGTAGTACGGTTCGGATTAGCGCGGTAGGGTTCGGAGTAGGGTGTTAGGCCTAGGTAGGGGCAGGATTCGGGTGTTAGGGTTAGGGCGGCAGGATTCGGGTTAGGGTGTTTGGCTTAGGGATTACTGCTCAGGGCGGTAGGGTTCGGGTCAGGGTGTTACGGCTGGGGTGTTAGGATTCGGGTGCCAGGCTGTAGGAGTTCGGGTGTTCGGGTTTCGGTGGTAGGCTTGGGGACGACGGATCGGAAATGGGGGGGGCCGGGGTGGTCCCGGGACGACGGACCAGGGCAAGGGGGGGTTCCCCCAGGGGGGTTGGCCGCCCCCCCCCCCCCTCTGGGGCATCCAGCGGCGCGCCCTCCTTCACTCTGGGGCGGATCCGCCCGAGATTGGCACCACGCCCTCCTCACCAGGGCAAGCAGGCTCTCACGTTTCTGACCCAGACTCCCGACGTCGTGTTTTTTTCATGACGTCGACCCCCGGAGGTCTGGACCCCCTCCCCGGGACCAGTTTTTGATCCCGAGTCGTTTTCTGGACGGTCTTGAGGCCCAGTGAGGGCCGAAACTGGCGAAGAGCCTCGCGTCGTGATGTTCGACCGCGCGAGGGGGTCTGGCTCTGACGACCTCCCAGGAGCTGCCTCCTCATCAGGGCAGGAGGAGGAGGAGGAGGAGGAGGAGGAGGAGGAGGAGGAGGAGGAGGAGGCGGAGAGGAGGAACAGGAGCAAGGAGCAGGCAGGAGGAGGAGAGGGGAGGAGGGGGAGGGAGGAGAGGAGGAGGGGAGGAGGAGCAGGAGGAGGAGGAGGAGGAGGAGGGGCAAGCAGCCTTCCACCTTTCTGACGAGGACCTCCCAGGAGCTGCCTCCCGACGCCGAGGCCGCGGCCTCCCAGCGAGGGGGGTACGGCGGGCCGGGGCCCGCGCCCCGAGAGAGGTCGCGGCCTCCGCGGCGCCGCCCTCGCCCGTGGGCCCCCGGCGCGCGGCGGTGGTGGCGGCGGCGTCGCTCGAGGCGTCTCGGGCGGGCAGGCGGTCTGGCCGGACGAGAGCCTCGGGAGCTTCAATCCCAGAGCTCCTCGGGCTGTGGCAGAAATCACGACGGGAGGTTTTCCGCTAGTCTCGGCCGCCGGGGGCCCTCACCGGGCCCCGGGACCGTCCAAGAACGACTCAGAGTGAAAAGCCAGTCCGGGGGAAGGGGTCCAGACCTCTGGGGGTCGGCGTCATGAAATTATCCTGGCGAAGGTCCCAACCATATGCAGTTGTGGGTACCGTAATTGTGAATATCTGCTTCGGTGAAGCTCCCTATGGGGCCACGAAGCGCTGCATTGGGCGGGGGTGAACGCTTTCCAGGACGCATGCGGACGGTCCCACTGAGGGCTTCGGTGGAGCTCCCTATGGGGCCACGAAGCGCTCTACTGAGTGAGTGAAAATGCCAAATTGGATTTCCGGGACGCATGCGGACGGTCCCACTGGGGGCTTCGGTGGAGCCCCCTATGGGGCCATGAAACGCTGCACTGCGCTGTGAAAATGCGAAATTACATTTCCCGGACGCATACGGACGGTGACACTGGGGCCTTGGGTGGAGCCCCCTTATGGGGCCACGAAACGCTGCACTGGGTGGGTGAAACTGCCAAATTGGGCTCCTGGGGCGCATGCAGACGGGGACACTGGGGCCTTCGGTGGAGCTACCTATGCGGCCACGATGCGCTGTACTGGGTGTGCGGGACGCATGCGGACGGTAGCGCTGGGACCTTCGGTGGGGCTCCTATGGGGCCACGAAACGCTGTACTGGGCGTGCGGGACGCATGCGGACGGTAGCACTGGGACCTTCGCTGGGGCTCCCTCTGGGGCCACGAAGCGCTGTACTGGGTGGGTGAAACGCAGGGAGGAGGGGGAGGAGGGCCACGAAGCGCTGTACTGGGTGTGCGGGACGCATGCGGACGGTAGCACTGGGACTTTCGGTGGAGCGTCTTTTAGGGCCACGAAACGCTGTACTGGGTGTGCGGGACGCATGCGGACGGTAGCACTGGGACCTTCGGTGGAGCTATTTATCGGGCCACGAAACGTTGTGCTGGGTGTGCGGGACGCATGCGGACGGTAGCACTGGGACCTTCGGTGGG